GTTCATTAGTTGTGATGTCTTAAAATGAATGGGTCATGATGTTGTTCATTTCTTGATTTCGATGCTAATAATGATAAAGTAGGAATTATTGGGTTCACAAAATTATTGTTGTTTTATTTATTAAATAAAGAATGAGATTTATTTTAGCAATTCGTCATTGTTTTGTTGGATTAATAAAAAAGTACAATATGAGTATGCCTAATTTCGCCATTAACTTCAAGATAAAAATAAAAATAAAAATATAATATGTGTAGGCCTAATTTTAACATTAACTTTAAGGGTGAATAAAAATAAAAGAATATAAGATAATCCAAAATTTATATTGTATCCTAGAAGTTTAGATTTATTTTGTTTTATTTGATTTTATTTAATATTTTTCTTGTAACATTAGATGGGTTTTAGGCATGTAAAAAAATAATAACATTTGTTTCAATTAAGAATGTGGTTACACATCTTTTTTGAAACACTTAAAAGAAATTCAAGGATGTGGTGACACACCTTGATAAAATTATTCTAATATATATTTTAACATGTGGATTAATTTAATTAAAAGTATCACCAATAAATATAATAATGAAATGAGAAGATTAGTTGTCAAGAATTCAGAAAAATAAGAGCAAGTACTTTAATACTAGATGAGTTTTATGCACGTTAAAAATGTTTGTTTCAATTAAGAATGCGGTTGCGCATCTTTTTTGAGACATTAAAATAAACTCAAGGATGCGGTGACGCACCTTGTCCAAAAATATAATTGGTTTTTTATTAATTTAAGATAGTGACTTATAAAAAAAATAAGGTCATTAAGTGTGATGCAAAGAAGACAGTTATGTCTCTAAAATGTCAAGATCGATAATGCAGTTATGCATCCGGCTTAAGAATAATAAAAGTTCAACAATTAAAAAATAAGTGAACCATGGCCTTAGACACAAATTATCCAAAAACATATTAAAATAAGTATAAGTCAATAAAAGTGACCGTACTAGAACCACGGGACTCGAGGGATGCCTAATACCTTTCCCTCGGTCAACAGAATTCCTTGCCCAAATTTCTAGTTCGTAGACCAAAACTAAAAAAGTCATTTTTTATTGATTAGGGATTCAAAAAGGTGACTTGGAACACCACAACTCAATTCCAAGTGGCGACTCTGAAACGAAAAAAAATAATCCCTTAATCAATAAAGTCACTTAAATTGGAAAAACCCTTCCGCTGCTGTGCGCAAAAAGGGGTGTGACAGTTAGGGTTTTGGGCTTATGATTTTTAAGGGTTTAGAGTTCAAGGTTTAGTGTTTGGGATTTAGGGTTCTTTAGGTTTAGGGGTTTAAAGTTTTTTTTAAAGGTTTTTAGGGTTTACGGTTTTTAAAAGTTTAGGGTTTTAAAATTTTTTAGGGTATTTTTTATTTCTTAAAGTTTAGGGTTTCTTAAGGTTTAAAGTTCAGGGTTTCTTAGGGTTTTAGGTTTAAGATTTTTTATGGTTTTGTTAACGATTAAGGGGTTCTTAGATCTTAGGGATTTTATAGGGTTTTTAGGGTTTACGGTTTTTAAAAGTTTAGGGTTTTAAAATTTTTTTAGGGTATTTTTTATTTCTTAAAGTTTAGGGTTTCTTAAGGTTTAAAGTTCAGGGTTTCTTAGGGTTTTAGGTTTAAGATTTTTTATGGTTTTGTTAACGATTAAGGGGTTCTTAGATCTTAGGGATTTTATAGGGTTTTTAGGGTTTACGGTTTTTAAAAGTTTAGGGTTTTAAAATTTTTTTAGGGGTATTTTTTATTTCTTAAAGTTTAGGGTTTCTTAAGGTTTAAAGTTCAGGGTTTCTTAGGGTTTTAGGTTTAAGATTTTTTATGGTTTTGTTAACGATTAAGGGGTTCTTAGATCTTAGGGATTTTTATAGGGTTTTTAGGGTTTAGGATCTTAGGTTTTAGGGTATTAGGGTTTATAAGGGTTTAGAGTTTCTTAGGGTATATTATTTAGCGTTTAGGATTTCTTAGGGTTTGGTTTTTCTAAGGGTGTTTAGGATTTAGGGTTAAGATTTACTACGGTTTTATTAGGTTTAGAGGAATTTTTAGGTTTAGGGTTTTAAGGTGTTTAAGATTTTTATGGTTTGTTAACGATTAAGGGGTTCTTAGATCTTAGGGATTTTATAGGGTTTTTAGGGTTTACGGTTTTTAAAAGTTTAGGGTTTTAAAATTTTTTTAGGGTATTTTTTATTTCTTAAAGTTTAGGGTTTCTTAAGGTTTAGCCCTAAGTTTAGGGTTTCCTTGGGTATAAGGTCTAAGTTTTTATTTAAGGTTTAGGGCTTAAGTTTTTGTTGAACTTTTTAGGTTTAGGATTTTAAAAGGGGTTTTCAAGATTGTTATGATTTCCTACGGTTTAAGGATTCTTAGGGCTTTGAATTTCTTTGGGTTAAGGACTTAGGATTTTAAATTTAGGATTTTTAGGGGTTACGGGTTTTAAAGGTGTTTTTAGGTTTAGTATTTTTAAAGGTGTTTTTAGGCTTTAGGATTTTCCTAGGCAAGGGTTTGTTGGTGTTTCACAAGTCTTGAGGTTTAGGGGTTTCCCTAAGGTTTAGGGTTTAGTGTTTCTTAAGGTTTAGGATTTTAAAAGGGGTCTTCAAGATTGTTATGATTTCTTACGATTTAGGGGTTCTCAAGGCTTAGGGTTTCTTTGGCTTAAGGGCATAGGATTTTAAATTTAGGGTTTTTAGGGGTTACGGGTTTTAAGGGTGTTTTTAGGTTTAGTACTTTTAAAGGTGATTTTAGTATTTCTTAGGCTTTAGGGTTTGTTGGTGTTTCATAAGTCTTGGAGTTTCCCCAAGGTTTAGGGTTTAGTGTTTCTTAGGGTTTAGGGTTTCTTAGGGGTTTTAGATTTTAGGCTTTTAAAGGTGTTGATCGAATATGCTTATGATATGCCAGCTCAAGGTTAGCTTGGGGTCACTCGTGATCCTAGGTCTCGTGTTACGTCAAGCGGGTAACCTCGGGGAGTGACAAAAACAATGTATGAATAAAAGCATCTAACTAACTAGAGATGCTGGGAAAAGCCCCCAGCTAACTCTAGCAAAACTGAAACTAAAATGAAAGACTGAATATAAAAACATGTAAATCGTCCTCGAAAAACGAGGACTGACCGCTGATATTGCTTAATACGGATCGGAAACTGATCTCCGCGTGATCTGAATGTTGAGGACCTGAACCTACATCAAGAGAAGAGGTAGCGTAGAGTATGTATCAGCAGTTGAAATATTCTGAGCATGCATGACATGACAAAGCTGAACAAATATATATAACTTAACAGAGCATATTGCAGAATAGTATAATCTGAACATAAGAGTTTAGGGTTTCTTAGATTAGGCTTTTATAGGTGTTGATATAATATGCTTATGATATGCCAACTCAAGCTTAGCTTGGGGTCACTCGTGATCCTAGGTCTCGTGTTACGTTAAGCGGGTAACCTCGGGGAGTGACAACAACAATGTATGAATAAAAGCCTCTGACTAACTAGAGATGCTGGGACATGCACCCAGCTAACTTTAGCAAAACTGAAAATAAAATGAAAGACTGAATATAAAACATGTCAATCGTCCTCGAAAAACAAGGACTCACCACTGATATTGCTGAATACGGATCGGGATCCGATCTCCGCGTGATCTGAATGCTGAGGACCTGAACCTACATCAAGAGAAGAGGTATGTATCAGCAGTTGAAATATTCTGAGCATGCATGACATGACGAAGCTTAACAAATATATATAATTTAACAGAGCATATTGAAGAATAATATAATTTGAACATGATGAATAAGAGTTTAGGTTTTTGTTTAAGGGATTTTAGGTTAGGGTTTTAGATGAAGGAATTTTTTTAGGGTTTTAAAGGTTTGTTTTTGGAATTTTTAGTTTTAGGGTTTTAAAGGTTTAGCTTTTCTTAGGATTTCTTAGAGTTTCATAAGGCTTAGGGTTGGGGTTTATCCCTAAGGTTTAGGGTTTAAGTTTCTTAGGGTTAAAGTTTAACATTTAAGGTCTCCTAGGTTTTTTTTGGGTCATTTAAGGTGTAGGTGTTTAGGGTTTAGTGTTTTAGGTTTAGGGTTTTTCTACGGTTTAGGGTTTAGGTTTGATAGGTTTAAGATTTTTTAGGTTTAGAGTTTGGAAAGTTCTTTTTGTTGTTATTTAATGTTTATATTTTCTTAGGATTTAGGATTTCTTAGGGTTTAGGGCTTCTTAGAGTTTCATAAGGCTTAGGGTTGGGGGTTTATCCCTAAGGTTTAGGGTTTAGGTTTCTTAGGGTTTGAGTTGAACATTTAAGGTCTCCTAGTTTTTTCTGGGTCATTTAGGGTGTATGGTTTAGTGTTTTAGGTTTAGGGTTTTTCTAGAATAGGGTTTAGGTTTGTTAGGTTTAAGATTTTTTAGAGGTTTTCTAGGGTTAGAGTTTATAAAAATAAATTTATTGTGTTTCTGGGTTTTGGGTTTCTTAGTGCTTTTTTGGGTTTAGTGTTTGGGGTTTTCTTAGGGGTTAGGGTTCTGGGCTTATGATTTTTAAGGGTTTAAGGTTCAAGGTTTAGTGTTTGGGATTTAGGGTTCTTTAGGTTTAGGGGTTTTAAAGTTTTTTTTAAAGGTTTTTTAGGGTTTAGGTTTTCTTAGTGATTTTATGGGGTTAGGATTTCTTAGTGATTTTTTAGGGTTTAGGGTTTAGGATCTTAGGTTTTAGGGTATTAGGGTTTATAAGGGTTTAGAGTTTCTTTGGGTTTCTTCGTTTAGGTTTTAGGGATTCAAATTTTAGGTTAAGTGTTTTTTAGAGTTTATGGTTTTTTTTAGGTTTATGATTTTTATGATTAAGGTTTAAATGTTTTAGGGTTTCTTAGGTTTTTTTAAGAATTTGGATTTCTTAAGATTTAGGATTACGTAGGCCTAATATATGGCATAGGATTTTAAGTTTAGGGTTTTTTCTAGGGCTTATGGTTTTGAAGGGATATTTTTTCCTCGAGTATTATAGTTTTAGGTGTTTAAATGGATTTTAGGGTGTAGGATTTCTTGGGATTCAATATGGTTTGGGGTTTAATGTTTAGCCCTATGATTTAGAGTTAAGGATTTAGAGTTTCTAAGGGTATATTACTTAGCGTTTAGGATTTCTTAGGGTTTGATTTTTTTAAGGGTTTTTAGGATTTAGGGTTTTCGGGTTAAGATTTTCTAGGGTTTTATTAGGTTTAGAGAAATTTTTAGGTTTAGGGTTTTAAGGTGTTTAGGATTTTTATGGTTTGTTAACGATTAAGGGGTTCTTAGATCTTAGGGATTTTATAGAGTTTTTAGGATTTACGGTTTTTAAAACTTTAAGGTATTAAAAGTTTTTTAGGGTTTTTTTTTATTTCTTAAAGTTTAGGGTTTCTTAAGGTTTAGCCCTAAGGTGTAGGGTTTACTTGGGTATAAGGTCTATGTTTTTATTTAAGGTTTACAAGATTTAGGGTTTAAGTTTTTTTTTAATTTTTTAGGTTTAGGATTTTAAAGGGTTTTTCAAGATTGTTGTGATTTCCTACGATTTAGGGATTCTTAGGGTTTTGAATTTCTTTGGGATAAGGGCTTTGGATTTTAAATTTAGGGTTTTAGGGGTTACGGGTTTTAAGGATGTTTTTAGGTTTTATATTTTTAAAGGTGTTTTTAGGCTTTAGGATTTCTTAGGCAAGGGTTTGTTGGTGTTTCACAAGTCTTGAGGTTTAGGGGTTTCCCTAAGGTTTAGGGTTTAGTGCTTCTTAGGCTTTAGGATTTTAAAAGGGGTCTTCAATATTGTTATGATTTCTTATGATTTAGGGGTTCTTAAGGCTTAGGGTTTCTTTGGGTTAAGGGCTTAGGATTTTAAATTTTGGGTTTTTAGGGGTTATGGGTTTTAAGGGTGTTTTTAGGTTTAGTACTTTTAAAGGTGATTTTAGGATTTCTTAGGCTTTAGGGTTTGTTGGTGTTTCATAAGTCTTGGGGTTTCCCTAAGGTTTAGGGTTTAGGGTTTCTTAGGGGATTTAGATTTCTTAGATTAGGCTTTTAAAGGTGTTGATCTAATATGCTTATGATATGCCAACTCAAGGTTAGCTTGGGGGTCACTCGTGATCCTAGGTCTCGTGTTAAGTCAAGCGGGTAACCTCGGGGAGTGACAAAAACAATGTATGAATAAAAGTCTCTAACTAACTAGAGACGCTGGGACATGCCCCCAACTAACTCTAGCAAAACAGAAACTAAAATGAAAGACTGAATATAAAACACGTAAATCGTCCTCGAAAAACGAGGACTCACCACTGATATTGCTGAATACGGACCGAGAACCGATCTCCGCGTGATCTGAATGCTGAGGACCTGAACCTACATCAAGAGAAAAGGTATGTATCAGCAGTTGAAAGATTCTGAGCATGCATGACATAACGAAGCTTAACAAATATATATAACTTAACAGAGCATATTGAACAATAATATAATCTGAACACGATGAATAAGAGTTTAGGTTTTTGTTTAAGGGATTTTAGGTTAGGGTTTAGAGCTTAACTTTTTCTAAAAAAATTTAGGTCAAAAGTTGTTTTCAATTTAGGATTGATAAAGATTTTTTAGGATCATTATTGTTTTTACGATATATGAGTTCTAAGGGCTTAGGACTTAGGGTTTTAGATTTAAGGAATTTTTTTTAGGGGTTTTAAAAGGTTTGTTTTTTGGAAATTTTTTAGTTTTAGGGTTTTAAAGGTTTTTATTGTTTAGCTTTTCTTAGGATTTCTTAGAGTTTCATAAGGCTTAGGTTGGGGTTTATCCCTAAGGTTTAGGGTTTAGGTTTCTTAGGGTTTGAGTTGAACATTTAAGGTCTCCTACGTTTTTTTTGGGTCATTTAGGGTGTAGGGTTTAGGGTTTTTCTAGAATAGGGGTTTTAGGTTTGTTAGGTTTAAGATTTTTTTAGAGGCTTTCTAGGGTTAGAGTTTATAAAAATAAATTTATTGTTTTTAGGGTTTTGGGTTTCTTGGTGCTTTTTTGGGTTTAGGGTTTGGGGTTTACTTAGGGTTAGGGTTTTGGGCTTATGATTTTTAAGGGTTTAGGGTTCAAGGTTTAGTGTTTGGGATTTAGGGGTTCTTTAGGTTTAGGGGTTTTAAAGTTTTTTTTAAAGCTTTTTTAGGGTTTAGTTTTTCTTAGTGATTTTTAGGGTTTAGGAATTCTTAGTGATTTTTTAGGGTTTAGGGTTTAGTATCTTAGGTTTTAGGGTATTAGGGTTTATAAGGGTTTAAGGTTTAGGAGTTTCTTAGGGTTTCTTCGTTTAGGTTTTAGGGATTCGGATTTTAGGTTAAGTGTTTTTTTAGGGTTTAGAATTTCTTATGGTTTCTTCGTTTAGGTTTTAGGTATTCAGATTTTAGGTTAAGTGTTTTTTAGAGTTTATGGTTTTTTTTAGGTTTATGATTCTTATGATTAAGGTTTTTAAATGTTTTAGGGTTTCTTAGGTTTTTTTAAGAATTTGGATTTCTTAAGATTTAGGATGTAGGCCTAATATATGGCATAGGATTTTAAGTTTAGGGTTTTTTCTAGGGCTTATGGTTTTAAAGGGATTTTTTTTCCTCGGGTATTGAAACGACCCCAAAAATGTCCGAAAATGTGCTTCGGAAACACCTATAATTGTAATTTCCACATATCTCAAAATCCGTCCATGATTTCGGAAATTCGACTTCATATTCTTATTCATGGGGGTCAAATTGAGTGGGAAATGGGTCTAACCCAAATTTTTAGAGCAACCGTATCAAAATCCGAAATTTCCAAGTGAAGCCTTTTCGAGGGTCTACTTTGGAGGGTCATATCTCCTAGCACACAAATTATTTGGTGGCTAATAATATATCCATAAAAAAGTGGCCAAACACATCTACAACCCCTTAAACTTGTCTTTAAATTTCATTTTGGCACTCCAACTCAACCTTGTTCCATTTTAACCCTTCAACTCCAATTTTTATGTTCCATTTTAACACATTTGTTTTACGGACATATAATTGTTATGCGCATGTTAGACAAGTAAAAAAACATTCAATTACATACCTCCATGTGTGTTATTTTCTCCATATCATCCAGGTTAACCCAATTCTAATACAGATCCTTTAATTATTTCCCTCCAAAAATGAAAAGACTTCCGTAACCTATTCTTCGGAGAAACCTTCCAAAACAACAATCCTTCCCCAAATCCCCACCATTAGAAAATGAAACCTTCTGCAATTATCAATGATTTCTTCCCATTTAAAGACAAAAAATCACATTTGAAGACTAAGATCTTCTAAAAGTTAAAGTTGCTTTGGTTGTTGCTGGTAAGCAAATCTTATAACCATGCTTTGTAGTTTCCTTTTGGATGCTATGTGGTTTTTCTTTTCTTTTTTTTAGTGTTTCTCATTAGGAATTTTTGATGCAAGATTTAGATTTATAGTTTCGAAATTCAGTGTAAATCTTCTGATGATATTCTTTTTTCCCCTTTTCTTTTCATGTCAGTGTAAATCTAACTCATGGCAGAAGAATACATGTTGGGGAGAGAGAAATAAGGTAACTCCTTTAGATAAAGACCAAGTTTCTTTGGTTGAATTGGGTTGTTATACAAAGGATATAGGGTATGCATCTGTTGGGGGTTTCTATGTATTTAACTCTAATTCCAATGAATTTGTTTTGTTGGAAAATGACAAACAGATTTAAAATATTGTATCTCACCTTAAACATGGTGCTTTTTTAGACTTGTTTATTAGCCATGTCGTTAATCGACCTATTTTGGTGGAAGAGAGGGTCCCATTTGAATTTCAAGTGAGCTTGGCATGGTTCAAAACAGTGAGAATTCAATAAATAGGGGGTCTAGGGTTGCATTAGGTGAACACCCTGAACTTATTGCTCAAAAAACTTCTCTGCTCACACCCTCAACTTATTGCTAGAGATGCAGCAACCAGTTCATATGTTACCGAGCAGGAAGAAACAACATATATAAGAGATGAAAATGTTAATGCAAAGGAAGATGACAGTGATTTGCCTTCAAATCTGTACAGTAGTGAATCTGAGTTAGTAGATGTTATACCTGAGGAAGATGAAAGTGAGTTAGATGAGGAGTTAAGAGCATTCAGAACAGAAAGAAGAAAGAAAATTCATCAGAAAAAGAAGAGGAAGGTGCCTGTTCCAACACCTGGTTGAGCTAGGAGAGGCTGGACCATACAAAGGTTTTAATGACATTAACAGGCGAAATAAAAGAGACAAGTATGCTGGAAGATTGGGGGGAGATGAGGAGTGCTATAGTAGCTCAGATATTGGTAGTGATGACAGTAGAGATGAGTTGGATGTTCTAGCTCAAAGAGGCATCGAATTACCAGCTAGAAGAAAGAGTAGAAAACTAAGGTTTGATCCCGATTGTCAGATAACTATTTTTGAACTTGACATGGTCTTTGAGAGTGCTGTGCAATTTAGAAAAGCTGTGCAATCTTATGCTGTAGAGAACAAAGTGCAACTCGAACTTAAGCCTAATGAGAAGCACAAAATTAGAGTCAAATGTAAAAGGAAAATACTATGCAAATGGGAGATATATGCAAGCACTGACAGGAATTCTGGTGATTGTGAAGAAGTACCACCAATTTCATCGTTGCCCAACTAAAAACAAGAACAAGTTATGAACTTATGTGTACATTGCACATTAATTTCAAGATAGGTTTGTATCTCAACCTAGCATAAAACTTTGGGAGATTCAGGAATTGGTAAGGCATCAGTTGGGTTTGTATGTAGGGAGGACAGTTTGTTATAGAGCCAAGTGCAGGGTAATGAGTCAGTTCATGGGTGATTGGAATCTGGAATTCTCTAGATTATGTGACTATGTTGACATTATTAAGAAGACAAATCCTGGAAGTTCTTGTTGGGTTAGGACAAACAAGGATACAATACTTGGATAAAACTTGTTTGTGTATTTTTTATGTGTGTTTTGATGCTCTTAAAAGGGGTTGGTTAGAAGGATGTAGGAAAATTATTGGTCTTGATGGATGGTTCTTGAAGGGATTATGTAAAGGGGAATTACTGGTAGTTGTAGCTCATGATTCCAGGAAAGTTTGGTCTATCATTAGGAAATAGAAATGTAGAGCTGAAGCATCGGAACCCCCCTTGAAAAATAGACAAATTTTATTATTAATTTTTTGTGGGATTACATACACTCAGGAGATAAGAGAGAACCCATCTTTTTGGATAGCTTTAATCTATATGAAACACTGCTACGAAGGTGAATTTTCAGGCGGTATGCATTTACATAAGCTATTTAGCAAAAACAAAAAAGCGAAGTGCAATTACACAAAATATACACTTCAAGATGCTTATAAATGAATTTCCAGAACACACGTTCTTCCAGAACTCCTAGACAGCAACTCAGTTTCGCATTTACTTAACCTAAGCAAAATAGAGGCTTGAGGCATCGTTTCACACACATTGTCCCCAAAAAAAATGGCAGAAAGTTTCAACCAGAATCTAAAATACACACCCCATATATAGGGCTTTAATGGCCATCAAACAAGCAAGGATAGATCAAAACTACATGCTTCCCAATTCTAGTTCTAGTTTCTTTAATAATTGAATATGCTATAATATGAAGCATGATACTGAAACTAATTCTTCTAGATCCAGGCTTTTCGACAGTTTAAAGATAAATGATAGTGCTAGAACCATACTACTATTCCTCTATAAAACAGTAAGATGTGAGCTAGAGCTGTTTAGAGAAAACATTTAATGGGAGAGCAAAAACCACCTGGAATATGTGTCACTATCAAAGTGTTAAAGCCATAATTATAAAGTAACAAAGAAAGAAAAAAATAACCTGAATAGATGAGTATTGTGGTTAACTGGTGTTCGATCTAGCAGCATAAATTCAATCAATTTATCAGGATTTAGAGCTGAAAATGAAGGACAACAGTAAAATTGAGTTAGTTCCTTGTTTAAACTTTAACAACTGTCACAATTAAACAAATCTTCCAATGTTCTCATGTTACTGAAGCACTTAAACTGAACATCAAAAAGCATGAACTCAAAGAGAAGTCTAAACGGGAGAGGGAATATACACAGATTCATGAAATAGAAAAGCTCACATTTATCTAATAAATTAGCTTATGAGCAGAAAAGCCATGCAAATTCTCACACAAAAGTATATACAAGTTATCTCAAGTCATTCGTTTAACCAGTTCTACCCAAAGAATTTCTTACATCTTATCTCTGGTCTCCCTTCTTCCTTAGCTCATTTCAAATGATAGGGGTTTAATGGCCATCTAACAAGCAAGTATAGATCAGGACTACATGCCTCCAAATTCTAATTCTAGTTTCTTTAATAATTAAAAAGGCTATATAAGGTATCGTACCTGCACATTACTCTCTTGCACTAGAATATCCTTCGCTTTCTCGCACAGTCCTTTTACCTGCACAACAAGCACCTTTATCAGCCAATTCATTTATCACTAATACAAGAGGGGGAATAAAACATGTGCACCATAATAAAAGACTCACATGAAGCAAGTCATTAAATAAAAGCCTAGCATAAGCGAAGATGAATAAGCTCAAAATAAAACTAGTTCAGTAGAAGAACCAAAGTATTGATAAATACTTTCTTTGTTATAAGCTTATGCCCAGTTCTTTCCCTGTATACAAGCTTCAGTAATAATATATGCCACAATCTTGCATTCTCAAAACGGTAGCTTTCACTAGGTACCTTCTTGCCTACTGAAGTTCATGTGAATGATCGTGAAAGCTCTTCAAATACTATTTCACTGGAAAAAAAAGTGATATCATTCTGTTTTTGCTTTCTTTTTTCAGAAGAGGATGGGGAAACCTAGTTACCTTCTTTCTTCATCTTGAAGCATAAGAAGTAGCCTAAGTTAGGAATGACGGTTTGGATTACAGTCCGCAGAACCTATGACGGACCGTATTGGTGAACCATCATTCCAACATCAGAAACTAAAATAGTTGACTTCCTTTCCTACGGACTACGGTTGGGTCCTATGAGAACCAACCGCAGGACCAAACCAGTGTAATTTTCTATTTTCTTTTGGTTTCATAGTTTTATTTTCATTCTTTTCTTGCATTGTTTGGTATGTTTGGGTACTAATGACTTTTCCATCCATAGGTACTATGCCATCATAGAATACCAACACTTATGGAAGAAGGTCAAAATCCACCGCACCTTCAGCCCGGCTTCAAGTTATTGAAGAACGCATTGATAATGAACTCAGTGGGTCTGAATTCGACCCTAGCCTACAGGATGACTCACCAAAGGCACCGAGGACAACACGTCGATAGTCCAAGAAACTATAAATTATTGCGGTGCCGAATGAGTTTGACTCCTCTAGCCATGATGGTGCTTCTAGTCTGAGGAAGGAGTACAGAGTTCGGAAGCTGAACTCCACAAATTCAACCACCTTCGGTATATACAATGGGCTTGAAAGTTCTGTTTTTTATGTGGTAATTGGTGTAAGACCACTGATCGTCGAATAGCAACAGTGGTAGAATGAACTCAACTTGCCGACATAATTTTCAAACCAAACAGGTCAGGTTTAGTTACAGAGAGGGAGGGTCATCATTGAATGAGTAGTGTCACTATTAAAGCGTTAAAGCCATAATTATAAAATAACAAAGAAAGAAAAATAACCTGAATAGATGACTATTGTGGCTAACTGGTGCACCTTCTATGTGGTTTGGCCAGTGGAGTTATTCCAAGACAATAGTCGGTTGTAGAAGCTTTGGTTCTACTACCATCTCAAAAACCTGAAAATTGTAACATCACAAAGCAGTACACATAAAAAGAACCATCTTATTAACCAATAAGATACACTGGCATGTGGTTAAAAGTTGTTAGTTCTATGTATCTGCAGACGGGAACAGAAAAAATTCTAAACAACATTATTCAAACCTCATTATGCAAATGGCCAACAGAAGAGCATGCTTCAATTGAACTCTTATCCAGATCATCACCAAGAATATCAATTGCTTTATATCATGTTCTTTAGCAGCATTAAGATCGTCACCGAAGTTTTTAAAATCAATTCCAGCTTCTTTCACAAGATTATGCATTGTTTCCCTCCTCCAAGGTCTTTCCAAGCAGATCTCCACACCCTGCAACAAAGCATAAAGTTTGATTCCTTCAATTAAAGTTAAGGTGAGATAAGAAAGAAAATGAAATACCAAAAGTGGGACCAAAAACCTATTAACCATAAAACTCATAATTCACTGAAAAGTTAGTTCAACTCATTATGTGTAAATCTGACCATGTTTCAAAATCAGTGCAGAAACATTTCACATTCTCCAAAAACATATGCAGCATATGAAAAGGCATGAACTAGGATCTCTGGAAAAGATAAAATAAGATGAAAATTTAGTTCAACTCATTATGTGTAAATCTGACCATGTTTCAAAATCAGTGCAGAAACATTTCACATTCTCCAAAAAACATATGCAGCATATGAAAAGGCATGAACTAGGATCTCTGGAAAAGATAAAATAAGATGAGATGGTTTGCATCAACTCAAGGAAATAGGTGAGGTATTCGAATAGTAACTAAAAATGTTTAGCTGGACAGTTTTGGGCCAACATTGTTCAACCATTCAAAATTATTTTGTTATGATGAGATAATATATGGTCACGAGAAACAAGATGGTCAGAGTAAAGAAGATGTTGGAACCTAAGGAAGCTCCCTATAAATGGAAATTGAAAAGGTTAAAAAAAAAATAACATAATGCCATTGAGAAATATGAAGTTCACATGATTCCTCTTATCGCTCATGGTCCATTCTTGTAGCCAGATAAAGAAAGAAATAGGTTGTCTTCTAAGGGAACTTAAAAAAACAATCAAAGCCAAAAGCCACAAGTTCAATCAATTCTCAGTATTATGCCTTAAATATAAGAATGGTTGCACACGTATTCCTGTAAGTGAGTTGTATCATGTTTGACAGAGAAGATACATGAAAATGCAAAGAATGATCACCAATTACAAACACTATTGAGGAAGATTATCCACAGGAAAGGGTACTTACCTGGTAATCAATTCTAAGTTTCCCATTAACTGCAAGGGGCCAAGGGCACATCGTGTCACAATATCTTCTGCCATATTCATCATGCTTTCATAGTCAGAGTATGCTTCATACATCTAAAATCAATTTAAAAATGATTATTGATCATTTTGCAGGAAGTTATTTGGCTAAATGCTCTCCAAATGGATTTGCAAATTCGCTTTGAGCCTAATAAACTAAATAATGAGAAGTCCTTTGACAAAGAGCTATTACCTCAATGGAGGTGAATTCAGGATTATGACGAGTTGAAGCACTTCATTGCGGAATATACGGCCAATTTCATAAACTTTTTCGATTCCCCCAACCTACAGTTACACAAGATATATGATGGACTGTTACAAAGAAGCAGAAGAAACACCGCTCTTCTAATAATAGTTTGAGAAAGTACAACAGAAAGTAGGGATTATCCTTCGAAAGGATGAGTTTATTAGGCTTCAAAGTGATTTCATATTTCTGTAGATATGGCTCATAGTGGAAATGAATCTAGATTTGTGGATGTGTAGTTATAACTATCAAGCAGCAAGTAAAATTAAATATTAAATTTATCTTTTTCTATTAGCATTCAACAACTTGTGTCTCTCTTTTTTCGTTGAGTTGAATTTACTCTCTCATTATATCAAAAGAGTTCCATTTTCTCGCAGGCATATTTATAGTTTGGATGTTATGGTGAACTGAAAACTGGAATGCACACAAGGTCCAAATGCCAACTTTCTTCTGATCGAGTTGGGCTGCAGTGCTATCTGCTGATTCTTATTGTGTCTAATTGATGTTTTTATGTTAAGTTTGTGTTTCTTGTCTAATTGGTGCTTCTGTGCAGTGAGTTTTTGTTCTAATGTTCACTTACACTTGGATCTTGTGATGGGTTGTTGTTGGTATCAATTGTTGATCATGAGGTTGTGTAATCTATGTTGCTCGGACTTTTCAAAAATGCCATTGTGTGTCGCATCCTTTAAAAGTAGTGCATTTCTGAAAGCACGGGTGCGACAACATTTCTAGAGAGTCCGAGCTACTTATGATTATGTTACAGAAGAATTAGCATTGTTGGGTTGACCTGAAGAAATGCAAGATTGGATGTTTGTGTGGATCAAATCTGAGTACATTTAGAAGTGTGTTGAATTTTTTTGGGTTATCCTTGGCATAGACAAACAGATCATGTTATTTTCATTTCTTAATTCAAGTATGTCTATTCATCAGTTTTACATGTCTTAGATGTATTATTTTTATTTCCAGTAGCTACACCAAAACAGAGCATCACAAATGCTAAAGTGAAAAGCCATCGACAGTTGCAATATTCTTTACCAATGATGATTTTAAAGGGCATAAAGAAGCTGCCAGTGTATATTTACAAGGAAATAACTCCACTGGTGGTGACTCTGAAGAAGAAAAAAGTAATGAATCTGAACTCTCTAATGATTATGGAAGTGATGTTCATGCAGAACTTAGGGTGGTGAGAGAAGATCTACGGGAATATAATAAAACAGAAAAAGTTAAGGCTCCTGCTAAGGAGAAACCGGATGGATTTCTTAGTGAAGATGGGTTAGATGAAGGCTATGAAGATATTGATAACGAAAGAACAAATTTGTGGTACAATTTGGGAGGTGATGATGATGAGCCATATTATGACTCATGAAATGTAGATAGTTTTGCTAGTGAATTTGAAGGTGAGCAGGTTTGTGATGATGGAGGAGGAGGAGGGCAGTTGAGGGATAGGAAAAAGAGTAGCATAGCACGGTAGTCTATCATCCAGATTGTGAGAAAGTCATCTGGCAGGTTGGTCAAGCATTTAAAAATGTTAATAAATTTAGAGAAGATATGACCAACTATGCATTAAAGAAAGAACTCCAGCAAGAAAAGGAGAAGAATGATCAAAATCAGGTAAGGGCCAAGTGTAGGAAGTGTATAGGTCTTGATGGTTGTTTTCTCAAAGGGGTATGTAAAGGGCATTATTTGTAGCAGTCGCTAAAGATGGAAACAATCAAACCAATAGCTTGGGCTGTCACTGAAGTAGAAAAAAAGGAAACATGGAGATGGTTTATGAGGATCTTGCAAGATGACTTGCAACTTGGAAATGGGGATCAAACTACTCTAATCATTGATATGCAAAATGTATGATAATGTTATTTTTACTACTCTTAAACCTTTATTCCTTTCTGCCCTTTTTTCTTGATTAAATTTAGCTCAATTTAACATTTTAATCAACTAGTATAAACAACAAGTCAAAGCATAAAATTCACTGTAGGATTAGTTACTGCTTTTTCCTAGTAGTTAGTTACTGTTTATTTTGCTAAACAGTTACCTACTATTTTTACCAATATCATATAAACTAGTTACTGTACTATTTATTTTCCTTAGTTACTACAGATTTTACATCATATACATACCATTGTTTATGATTTTTTGTAGGATTTGATTAGTGCTGCTGAGGAAGTATTTCCTGCTTGTGAGCACAGAATGTGTGCTTGACACATTCTGTTAAACTGGTCAAAGAAATGGAAGTGTATTGAAAGAAGGAAAAAGTTCTAGAAGTGTGTTAGGGAAACATTTGAATCTGAAGGGAAGGTGAGTTAAGCAAGTTGGGTAGAATTATTGTGGAAAATATCACATATGACATTGAAATATGGTGCAAAGTGTACTTCCAGGAGTTCTCAAATGTGGTAGTGTTGTTAATAATATGGCTGAAAGTTTTAATGCTTGGATATTAGCAGGCAGCTAGACATAAGGCAATTGTGTCTATGCTAGAAGAAATTAGAGTCAAGGTGATGAATAGAATAACTAAAATGAGGGTTTTTCCTACAGCTTGGGTAAATGGGATATCTCCAATGGCTTTGAAGGTGTATAAGGAGAAGATGAAGAAGTATCATGATCAAAAGATCAAAAAGCGAGAATTTAATCCCGGTGATTTGGTACTTCTATTCAACTAAAGGCTGCGCTTGTTTCTTGACAAGCTCAAATCAAAGAGGACGAGACCATTCAGAGTTGTACAAGTGTTGTCACACACACAGAGCGGTTGAACTTGAGAATGAGGAAGGAACAAGATTCAAAAGGTGAGAGTTAAATCAAGCGCTACTTGGGAGGCAACCCAAGATGTAATCTAGCTAGTTTGAATTAGTTTATTTTATTTTTTTGTTGACATTTTTTGTTCTTAAGTTTGATTTTTGGCTAGAATAGGATAGTTTAGGGTTCGTGTCCAAAAGGTGTCAAGAAAATGTAAAAGAAGTCCTAAGTTTGCTACATGTGCAAGAAAGAAAGAAAAATCTGCAAAATTTCAAAGTGTAGAGGGTTTTAAATCTCATCTATGAGTCGTTGCTCATTCAACAAACCGTAGATGGCATCCGTAGAATCTAAGTCCTAACACAATAATAACTTTAAGTCTACGGATGCACAATACGAACAGATTAAACTTTGACGGTCCGTAGTCTGCATCCGTAGACCCATCCGTAGACCCAGGTATGTTTCCTGAATTTTTTCCAAGTGTTGAGTAGAACGACGGAGGCCTTCGACAGTTCGTAGGAATTATTACGGACCATAAATGGATTATCGTCAAACATGTCTGTTTAAAATTAATGACCCGACCCGCGACCCTTTTTAATAAAAACCTCCAATTTTACATTCATCCCCCATTTCCCTCAATTCCCAACCCTTACAACCTCTCACATTTCCCACCCTTTCACACACAAACTCCATCCCTAACAATTCCAACTTCCACTATTTAATCCTTTCCTCCCATCTTCTCCTTTTACCTCTCCTATCTTCCATTTTTCCCAAATTTCCTTTACTCATATTCAAGGCAGTGCGGGACGGGGCAATTATTAAGTTGGTTTTCAAAGTTCTAGACATCTAAGTGATGCACTCGCACAACTTGGAAATTCATATAAAGGTATGGAATTAAGCCTCACTAGATTCAATTACTTGAATTCAAAGTTGCTACTTGACCTAGGGTATGTGATGCTTGTTTTGTATGCCTAAATTAATTAAAGTATACCCTTGGGAAGCAAGTAGATGTGTAAACATGTGAAACAAATTACTTCAAATTGTGTTCTTGACAAAGAGTTTGTGATGGTGCTATTTGTTATTATGATTAATTGATAAGTACAAGCCCTATAGATGACGGAATTACATTGAAAATTACTATGTTGAAATGCATGTTTGTGATGGAATAGGTTGATATGATGTTGAAGATGTGTTAATACAAAGTTGATCCTAAAAACTCCTAACAAGGTTGACGACTTGGATCTACGAGACGTAGGAATTCCTACCGACTGTAGATCAAGTCTCGTCATCTTGAAGAACAAAAAGTAGCCTAAGTTTGGAATGACGGTTTGTCTTACGGTCCGTAGAACCTTTGACGAACCGTACTAGTTAACAGTCATTTCAACTTCAGCAACTAAAAAAGTTGACCTCTTTTGGTAAGGTTGGGTCATACGGCCCGCAGAAGTTCTACGATCTGTAAGAACCAATCGTAGGACCAAGCAGTGAATATTTTTGCAAATTATTTTTTTTTGTTTTCTTTTGGTTTCGTAGTTTTATTTTCATTCATTTCTGGCTTTTTTTCAGAAAGTTAACTGGTATTATAAACAAAAGGAGTACACCAATAGTGTGCTCCTACATAGTTACATCAAAGTATGAAAGGACAGCCCAAAACAAAATCTATCTCCTATATTCCTTATAAGCTGTCTAGGAATAGGTTAATTTCCCCTATATCCTTAGGTACAGCATGTATACACCAAAAGTAAAATGTTGCTAAACAGTTCATCTTTATACTTTGGAAGGGAATGTTCTTGTTCTCAAAACATCTTTGGTTTCTCTCCTTCCAAATTGTCCACCAGATGCAAGAAGGGACAATCTTCCATCTCTCCTTGTGTTCTGACTGATTTCCATCTCTATTCCAACATGCTAGTACTTCTGACTGCCTGCCCCTTTTCATAAGGTTGTCCTGGGTCAGAACTGCTTGACTTGCAACTAGCCAAGTAAAACAGGCCACTTTATGAGGTATCTTCCCTTTCCAGATCATCTTCCATGGCCACCATTCCTTGGTTTCTGTTGAGATATTCAGCATCTTGTAGGCTGCTTTCACCCTGAACTTGCCACCTTTGTCCAAACTCCATAATAGTTTGTCTTCCTCAAAATTGAGACTCTTAGCTTGTTCCAAGGTATTGTAGAACTGAATCATTCTCTCCACTTCCCAGTAGTCTTCTGAAGGATAGATTCCAACCTTGTGCATTTTTGACCTCTGAGATAGTAGCTAGCTTCTGTTGATTGAGATTGTAAATGTCTGGAAACTGTTGCCTCAGAGGTGTTTGCCCCACCCATATATCATTCCAGAACATGGTCTTTCTGCCATTACCCACTTTGATCACAGAATTACCCCATATTTTTGGCCACTAATTTCTGATAGTCCTCCATAGTCCCCTTTCATAAGGAGTTTTAACTGCCTGAGTAGTCCATGGTCCTTCCCTACCATATCTTGCAATGATGATTTTCTTCCATAGGCCCTGCTCATCTGCTGCCAGTCTCCATAGCCATTTTAACAGAAGGCTCTTGTTTTGTGCTTTCAGATTCTTAATTCCTAAACCTCCCTCTTTTTTGGATGTTATGACAACCTCCCACTTAACCAAATGGTGCTTCTTCTCCCCTTCACCATTACCTTGCCAAAGAAAGTTTCTCCTGATAGCATCCAACTTTTTGATTATCTTCCCATGAATGGGGAAAAGGGACATCATGTAAGTTGGCATGGCATCAAGAACACTATTGATCAGTGTGACTCTGCCACCCAAAGATAAATATTGACTTCTCCAGTTAACTAGCTTCTTTTCACACCTTTCCACCACAGAGTTCCATATGTTCATGGACTTACTCTTGGCTCCCAATGGCATTCCAAGATAAGTGGTGGGAAGCTCTCCTATCTTACCACCTAAAATGTTTGCCAAAGTACTGATTTCTGGAACTTCATTCACAGGATAGATAAAACTCTTTTCCCAATTTATATGAAGTCTAGAAACTGCTTCAAATAGGATGAAGATATCCCTTAGGTGTTTTAGTTGTTCCTTCTCTGCTTCACAAAAAACCAAGGTGTCATCAGCATATTGTAAATGGGAAATAGACACTCCCAGGGAGTTTCCTTCATTCATTTCTGGCTTTGTTTTATATGTTTGGGTACTACTGACTTTTCCACAGGTACTATGCCACCAATGAATACCAAAACTTATGGACGAAGGTCAAAACCCACCGCATCGTCGGCCCAGCTTCAACTTATTGAAAAATGCACGAATAATGAACTCAATTGGTTTGAATTCGACCCTGCCCTAGAGGATTACTCACCAAAGGCACCGAGGAAACACGCCAACCGATTTAGAAACTAGACATTATTCTGGTGTTGAATGAGTCCGACTCCTCGAGCCATGATGGTTCTTCCTAGTCTGAGGAGGGAGCACAGAGTTCGAGAGAAGGTAGTGGGGAGTCACAGCCTAGGGCAGCTCAGGTCCACAGCATGACACACAGTCTGAGTCAGGCTGCAGATCAAATGTGAATTGATGGAAGAGGCACGAGCAAATATAGCCCGATCATGGTACGAGAGTTCAATGCCTTGTATGCGGCCACAGAGAAAAACACATTGCCTAGGATGGCCAACGAATAAGATCAGCCCTGACTTCTATCCACACTCGTAAGGGACATCCCCGTGAGTTTTTACAGCCCATCTCATGAGCAGCTAATTAATATAGCTGAGTTTGTTTATCAGATGCAGTTAGTCAAGAATAGTAGGCAGCTATAGAGATATGGACCATGCACATGAGTTCACAAGTTACATCTTTCTCAAAACCATTATCAAAATCGCTAAACTAATAACCCATTACGGATAAACCAATAAATTTTTTTCGTTTCGATTTTGATCAGCCCTACCCCACAGCACTACGTCGAGGTATCCATATTTATATGTCGCCTACAGTCGAAGCACTCTCACCAAAGAAGTTAGAGGAGGGCACAATTCAACCCCCATTACTGAGCCTGATGAAACTACTCCGTCATCTTCTTCCTCTAGCCCGACTTCGAGCGCACCACGTGCTTCAATTCCTACAGGTTTCTCCATGTTGTCGCTAACCAGACTCCAGAAATTGGACTCAAATCGAGATTCTATTGCAGCATATTCGTCCATGGATGAGAAAGGTCGTAGAGGACACGGAGGCAAGAGAGAGAATGTTGTTGAAGATAAGATTCAAGTAATGCAACGGAGAATTGATGCCTTATGAGTTTCGGAAATTAGATAGGCCTCGACCTGAGCCGACTGTAGATCTCTCCGCCTTCCGAACTAAGTTAGCCACACCCAAGGCGGACATTGATGCATTGGCTGATGCTAGCTCATTTTCACCAAAGCCTCCCCCACTAATGGTGGAGGCGATGTTATATCTGCCCTATTTGAGGATGAAGAGCCTACTCAAGACCTTCCCCGTGTGACTGGAAAGTGTGTGCGGATGATGCCCATAGTGACATTGATGAGGGCGGCGAGGCTACAAGATTGCGATGTGCACTAAAGGCTGCTCGAAAACAAATCAAAGGCAAATGAGGACTTTAGGAAGTAGCGAGAGCGTGAGTTAGCAGTCGGAGCATCGGCATCGAAGGGCACTATTCATGGTGCTCCAAAGACAAGCTTCTTAATAGTTCTTCGGCACTTGGGAGCCAAATGTCTGTCTAACCCTAAGTTTTTATATCATTTGTGCATTGAGGGCATTGCACTAATTTTTCATGTGGGGTTTGGGTGAATGGATTGTGAGTATGTGGATATGATGACTAAGATGATGAAAAGGTTTAACTCAACTGATGACCATGTGAAAGAGATGCGTACTGATTTTTCAAGTATTGGGCAGATGGTAAATTCACATATAGTATCTGTTAAGCCAATTTAGCAACAACTGAGTTGTCAACTATCTTCAAGTGTGAGTCCCCGTCAACAAGGAACACTACCTAGAAATTGTTGTGGATGCGTGGGAAGCCCTTAAATTAAGTATATAATTATTATTTTAGTAGCTTTATTTATTATTCTAGAATAGTGTTTATATTTCATAGTTTTATAAGGATTAGGTTATGTTATAGTTATTAGTTTGGAATAGGATTTAGGTCTCCTACTTTCATAAGAATTAGACTTCCTATTAATGTAATAAGACTCCTATTTAAAGGGGATTTTGATGAATAAACTAGTAAGTCATTTTTCAGCAAAAAGCAAGAGATTGGAGTTCTCTCTTCCATTGAACTCTAAGGTTTCAGTTTCAAGTTGAAGAGCTGAAGAGATCGGGGTTCTCTCTTTTAATGAACTCTAAGGTTCAGCCTCCCTTAACGAGCTGATTTATATATCGCCCTGTGAATCGATCCTTCCCTAAAAATTCATAACAATTTGGTATCAGTGCCTAACACAATGGGCGATGAGATCAGTTTCAGATTTGGCAAAACTTACTTCATATTAGCAATCCCCTATATAGTTCACGATCTTAATAAGTTTAATTGTTCTAGATGTAGTCTTTTCTACAGTTTAAAAGGGTGTGATCTTGTATTGGTGGAAGAAAATTATGAGATCCCTGCATCATGTGTTCCTCATTTTTTAAGATACTTTATTTATGTGTTTGTATCACCTAGAACATTTACATCTAAGCACAACTAGCATTTTAAAACACAAGTGGAAGTAGCAAAGTAGTTCAGGTAAGTTGGAACACACTAATTGATGAATCACAAGAAGTGTGATGAAAATAGATATTTCTATTAAATGAAATAAGAAGTGTTACCCAGTTAACTTTCTCAAAAAAAAATAAGAAGTGTTACCTGTATAACAGCCATCCACCAAGCTCTATACTTTCACTGCCTAAAACAATATCCTTTAGTGCCCTAGGAAGTAGTTCAAGTTTTCCCATCTGATCCATTGAGGGAAACCAGACTCTTCAGGTCCATAGGATTTTCTCAATTCCATATGCATGGAAATAAGGACATCCATCATCAGTTTCCCAAGCCTGGAAGCTGCTTCCGTTGCATATATCATATGAGATAACCACATCAAAAAAGATATTTACCAGCATAAAGTTCATTGTATTTAAAAATGTAAGAAAATATGTTTTCTATCACCTTTGCTCTGAAGTCTTTGAGGCTGGTAAGAAATGGTCACCCTAGCATACCCACCGGACTTGAGATTAGTACTAGATCTATGGAATAAATATTCGGCAAGCTTTTCACAGTTTTAAACCAAGGCTCAGCCAGTATCAAACTTTTGGAATCAAGAAGCTCCGAAACATCATGTCCTACAGACTCTGAATTTGATGGACTTTGGCCTCATTGAATTGAAGCTTTCTCATCAAGCAGGGAAGAAATAACAAGTGGATACAGCTAGGGATGAAAGGTCCAAAGGGCAGTAACACCCGGAAACCACTTATATTAACTATGTGGCATGGTGGAAAATAGTAGCCCGTTCCCTCACTTAAACATGTCTGCAAATGTTGTATCAGTGAACATGATGTCAGTATGTACTCCAATTTTGCAGAGAAAGGAAGAGACTTACAAACTTCATGGAATTGAAGAGCGCTAAAAGTTTATCAGCAACCAGGATATCTTAAGGTTCTAAAGGATATCACCTTATAAAGAAAAAATAATAGGAAAAAAAAGGAACTTAAAAACCTATATGGGTAGTGTAAAAAATGTAGTATAAAGTAGTGGCAGCTCATGATTCCGGGAAAGTTTGGTCTATCAATATGAAATAGAAATGTAGAGCTGAAGCATCGGAAACTCCCCCCACCTCCCTTGAAAAATAAACAGATTTTAATATTAAATTTTTGTGGGGATTACATTACACTCACGTTTGGTTCATTAAAGTCAAACAGAACATCAGGAGATAAGAGAACCCATCTTTTTGGATAGCTTTAATCTATATATAAAATACTGCTACTAGAGGTGAATTTTCAGGCGGTATGCATTTACATAAGCTATTTAGCAAACAAAAAAAGGAAGTGCAATTACACAAAATATACACTTCAAGATGCTTATAAATGAATTTCCAGAACACATGTTCTTCCAGAACTCCTAGACAGCAACTCAGTTTCGCATTTACTTAACCTAAGCAAAATAGAGGGTTGAGGTATTGTTTCACACACATTGTCCCCAAAAAAATGGCAGAAAGTTTCAACCAGAATCTAAAATACACACCCCATATATAGGGCTTTAATGGCCATCAAACAAGCAAGGATAGATCAAGACTACATGCTTCCCAATTCTAATTCCAGTTTCTTTAATAATTGAATGTGCTATAATATGAAGCACGATACTGAAACTAATTCTTCTAGATCCAGGCTTTTCGACAGTTTAAAGATAAATGATAGTGCTAGAGCCATACTACTGTTCCTCTATAAATCAGTAAGATGTGAGCTAGAGCTGTTTAGAGAAAACATTTAACGGGAGAGCAAAATCCACCTGGAATATGTGTCACTATCAAAGTGTAAACGCCATAATTATAAAATAACAAAGAAAGAAAAAAATAACCTGAATAGATGAGTATTGTGGCTAACTGGTGCTTGATCTAGCAGCATAAATTCAATCAATTTATCAGGATTTAGAGCTGAAAATGAAGGAGACAACAAAAAAATCGAGTTAGTTCCCCGTTTCAACTTTAACAACTGTCACAATTAAACAAATCTTCCAATGTTCTGATGTTACTGAAGCACTTAAACTGAACATCAAAAAGCATGAACTCAAAGAGAAGTCTAAAACGGGAGAGGGAATATACACAGATTCATGAAATAGAAAAGCTCACATATATCTAATAAATTAGCTTATGAGCAGAGAAGCCATGCAAATTCTCAGACAAAAGTACATACAAGTTATCTCAAGTCATTCCTTTAATCTGTTATACCCAAAGAATTTTGTATATCTTATCTCTGGTCTCCCTTCTTCCTTGACTCATTTCAAATGATAGGACTTATCATTCATACATCAAAGTCTATGAAAATGAAAGCCAACATTTTCAACTTCCTACATAACTGCATCCACAGAGATCTTATATCACAGACCCTAAGTTAAAATCAACAGTGTTGGCTTAAACAGAAAGAGAGTTTTGATTGAGTTGATGTTCCAACCAACTCTATGAATCTCTTGACTAAAGCATAAGCTTTAGAGAAGCATAAATAGAAAAATTAACCAATTTATTTACCAGAATCTTCATTGATTTGCTCCAAGTATACAAGTATATTGAAAAAAATTCAGCTTTCTAATGAATGAAGTATACGGTAGAACAGCTAGCCTTGAAGATGCCAAAATTTCTCAAAATGACCAATTAATGTAGCCACTCTGAAGTGACAGAAATAAAATGTTACAAAATGTATAAATCATTTTAGTAGTATACATAGGCATATTTTTAGCTAGTAGATCTGTAGGAATCCGTCATAATTAGCTAGCAGATTTGTAGGAATCCCTCTTTATTTTCTTTCCTAAATTAGCACAGAGTATATTGTATTTATATCTTGCTTATCTATTGGAATAAGATATCTACTTCTATTCGATTACATGGTATCAGAGCCTATAGGCTCCTTGATCATGTTCTCTCTCTGTTTCGAAAGGCAGCTCGATCTCGTTTTGCTGTCTTACAGAAACAAGCTCAGATTTCAAATCGATCACTTTCAAAGTGGCCAATTTGTGTCACTGCCACAGTAGGAGGCAGATCATACTTTCTGGTGTACCCCCAGTTTTGTTTGGTGTTGAAACACTGTTTGGAGAACACTTTCACCTTCCAGGTTCATATTTTTTTGAAAGTTACTTCCAGGTTCATATTTCGCTATAGCTTCTGCGATTCAGATCTGGTATTCTGTTTGGTGCTGCTGCGATTGTTGAATACTGTTAAACATTGAATGAATAGTGTTTTCTGGATGCTTGTTCTTGATTTTTGGTTCCTTTGTTCTCTCCCATCTTCTTTGTTCTTGAAGTTTGAGCCTCGACTATAATTATTTTATTGGTATTGGATTGTATTTGCTGTTTGTGTTTGCTGGATTCTCCTGTATTGCTACTTTGGATATTTAAGTTAGAAAATATAACTCAAACAATTAGAAAGGAGGAAATATGGCTACAAATCACAAGGATAAGACAATTTAGGGACAATTTTGGTTTCGGCAGATCAGTTTGCAGAGTTCTCTCGGTATCAAGAATCCCTTAAAGAATTCACTGCAGTTACTATCCTCGTTGATTCAAGAAAAGCATGTGTGGTCTCATCTTCGAACAACTGGGTGATTGATTCAGGTGCTACAGATCACATGCCAGGTAATCATAACATATTTTCTACCTTTCACTCACACAAAGCTCCCTCTCCTGTAACAGTAGCTGATGGGTCAACATGTAACACTGTGGGATCTGGAACCGTCAAAGCAACCTCCTCTATTACCTTGTCCTCTGTATTAAATCTACCGAAGTTGGCCTTCAATTTGATTTCTGTGAGTAAACTTACTAGAGATCTTAATTGTTATGTTTCGTTCTTTCCTAATCATTGCTTGTTTCGTGATCTTGCGACGCATAAGGTTATTGGTAAAGGACATGTAATTGATGGTCTATATATCCTTGATGAATATGAGTCTCAATTTGTTGCATGCTCAAGTGTCTTGTCTCCATTTGAAGCACATTGTCGATTAGGACACCCTTCTTTACCTTTATTAAAAGAAGTTATGTCCCCAGTTTCAAAATGTTCCTTCTTTGGAGTGAATCATGCCGATTTGCAAAACATCGTCGCATCACATTAGGTCCAAGGGTTAATAAACGAGTTGAATCAGCTTTTGAGTTAATTCATTCTGATGTTTGGGGACCATGTCCGGTTGTTTCCAAAACTGGACATAAATATTTTGTCACTTTTGTGGATGATTTCTCTCGGATGACTTGGATTTATTTTATGAAAAGTCGCTCTGAAGTGTTTACTCACTTTTGTGCCTTTTATGCTGAAGTCAAAACTCAATTCAATGCTTCTGTGCATATTTTAAGGAGTGATAATGCAAAAGAATACATGTCAGAGTTGTTTCAATCCTACATGAGACAACACGGTATCCTCCATCAGTCATCTTGTGTTGATACACCTTCTCAAAATAGAGTTGTTGAGAGGAAGAATAGACATCTACTTGAGACAGCCCGAGCACTTTTGTTCCAAATGAAAGTTCCTAAACAATTTTGGGCCGATGCAGTCTCTA